AAGTCCTGCATCACTAAACTCGCTAAACCCTACCTGTAGCCGAAATGACCTACCTCGTGCAGGAACTATATATAAAAAACCAGATGAAGGAAGAATGAAGAAGGCTCAAAAAGTAGATCTTTTCGGCTACAGGTAAACCCTGAACCCTGAACTCCCTGGCAGCTCGGTAGAACATGGTAGAACTAGAGAACTCAGAGACCAAGAAAGAGTTACCAGACCCCAAGCCCTGAACTTGAAACTCCCTGACAGTCCAAACCCTAAACCTAAAGCTCAGAACTTCAGAGGCCAAGAACTGCATCTACCTGAAGAGATCGATGGCTGGAGGTCCCCGCGCCCTGCTTGGGTGCTTGGGTTTGAGGCTTCAAATCTTCAGGCTAGTAATGTCGAACAGTAGAGCTGTTTAACTATAGTATGTTGATCATGTGTGTGTATGTGAATGAATACATGTGTTACAGGATCTAGGGTTGATTTAGGAGAGGATGCTGGGGTGTACTATGATATGGTGTGATTTGGCTTCTTGTGATGGTCAGCTTCGGCTACAGAGCTGGAGCCCTCAACAATAAACTATAAGCCCCCGGTATCAGTGCCTCGCCGAGGAGGGTCGGGGGCCGTTTATTCCCATGTCCGTTGGGGATGACAAGCTGGGGCTTGTTACAGTATGTGCTACTGTAGTATATTTGTATTATTTCTATGATATACTACATGACAGTCTTGTAGATTTGTGTCTGTATTAGTATATGCGTATTATGCTTTTGCTGGTATACTACCTGACATCCTTGTACATTTTGTATATGATGTTTCATGTTTGCACAACAGAGTATGTTATAGAGGGTTTCGGGTGTGGCAGAAGCAACGAACAGGGCCACGGCAAATGCCTGGCATGCAAAGTACAGGCCCCAATTGGAAGAGATTGAACTGTAGTGGTGGGTACCGACTTCATACGGGGTGCCTATTGGGTTTGGGGATTTGGGGGTTTGGGCTATGGCGTGATTCTGAGGGTCACGATGAATTTCCGAAGGGTGCCAAAAGGGCTTGGTGTAAAGGCTGGGCATGCTTTGGGGGTTCAGGGTTTGGGATTTTGAATCGTAGAATCCCACCAACGGCGACCGCAGGTTATGCGGACATCGAGAACCCGGTGTTCTTCCGCGAGACCACCCAGATGTTGCTAGGTTCGGTCCCCGGTGCCGGGAGCGTGATGAAGTGAATGACCGTTTAGGGTCTAGGGTTTTCTTGAGACGCAAGGTTCTATGTTAGGATTCTTAGTTGGATCTCCAGACTTAGCAGACAAGCCCCTTCATCCAGAGCTCCCAGAAAGTGTGAACTGAACTCGCAAATTCAGACAGCAAGGCAAGCTGCTCTGCACAATACCAACAAAACTAAGAACACAACTACGGATAATACTCAACTGTAACCATAATCATACTCATAATATTAGTCATACTAATGATACTTATGAATAGTAAACAAGATTACGTAATTCTGAGAACAACAATAATTATTATAGTAATGATAAGAATAATAACAGCAAAATTGATTAGAACATCATCATGCGTAATAAGAATAACAGTAGTAATGAAAAAATACTGACAGTATAAACCATAGTAACATAGTAGCAAGACTAGGCGCGGCCTCCTTCATTCCTACACTACCGCGGCTTGTTCGCTTCCCCCCGGGCTCGAGGCCCCAAAGCCCTAAAGCCCTGCTTAGGCAACCGCCACAGTACCTTAAGCCCAGAAGCCTCCCAAACGCAAACCTAAGCCTAATATAGGGGCCTCAATAATTACCTATACTATTTTTTGGGGGGGCTCCTTATTGAAATTACAGTAGAATGGACCCCAAAACCCTGATCGAATCATTATGGCCCCTGTATTAAGCCCTTCTATAAACCGTAAACTAAACCTCGACTAACCCAAAGCCCTGTAGATAACCCTTCAACTACACCTGAAACACCCTCGACTTAGGCGATGGCAAGGCCAGCTGCGAAGGCATCGCAGCGGCGCTGAAGTCGAAGTGAGCAGGCCATCGTTCCCGAGCCACAAGCGCAGTTCTCTACATGAAGGTTCTTTCTACGGTCCCTTTAAAGGGATCTACTGTATCAGGGTTTCCAAAGAGTTTCTGTCAAGGATATAGTAACGGTAAGTGGGGCCTTGCTTTGGGTCCTTTTTCTAAGGGTGCCGTACTGTTTTGGGGGGACCTAAAAACGAACCCCGAATTCGAGAACTACCCACAAAGTAAGGTTTAAAGTTTAGGGGTCAGGGTGCATGGTGTACTAGGGCATAAGGGGTGTATTGGGCTTTCGGGGTTTAGGGCTATGGTCCCCGACCCACACCACAGTAATCTAGCCGTCTATATGACTAGTGGCTGCAGTATCTTTATGTATAAACTTCAAAGAGCCTTGTTTTGAACATTACCCCTTGGATGAGCGGATTACATGAGTGTCGATGACAGGTCCCTCGGTACAATGAAAGCCTCCACACAGACGCAGCTCCCCAAACACATCAGACAAAACGCGCTCTTACACTAAGCTCCCCTACGACAAAGCTCCCGGAAGCTAACGTGCGGATACTGAACACCGGAGTGTAGGGACGTGACCCCACATCGATCGGGTACTTTCTTGTTATGGGGGCAGCCCGTTTTACAAAGACTCCACCGCCCACAGCTAAACATAGCAACTCTGATGAAGACTGGACACCAGATCGGAGTATGCAGCAACAACATTGAAGCACCTGATCCCTTGAATGGCGACATGAACAGCAAGCATAACAGTTTCAAGCACGGTAGCCGTGTTAGATGATGCAAGAAATGACAGCAGTAACAATATGGTGATGACACTACAGAAGCATCATGAGCAGCAGAACTCAACCTCAACCGCAGTCCACCAACAAAAACAAACGGCATCTCCCCGCGAAAGGAGCTTGCGGGCGAGGAGATTCTTGGCTTGAGGCAGAGGTTCGCATCGGGGCAGTTCAGGGCGCAGGATGGCGAACTACTCATAGGCCCATAGTAGTTCCCTGTTGGGGTTTATATATATGTATATATATATATATATATATATATATAGAATCCTATTAGGTAATCCCAAAAAGGAACTACAATGGAGCCTCTTGGGTAGGCACTATGTTTTAGGGCGTGCGGTTGCGGGTATGTAGTTTGGTTTTACGGTCGCACAGGTCCAGGGATTGGCTTTGCAGAGGCTTCGACAATACTTGCGGCAATTGTATGTTTCGGCTTAGAAATCCTTGGATATCTACATCCCTGCAGTAACCCTGGTCCGAGCGGAGTTCCTGCGGCATGACAGCCAAGGCTTGCTCAGGAGGCATCGAGCTTTCAGGGGTCTTTTCAGGTTTACTTTGCTTAGGACAGCCTTTGGTGTTCGGTTGTTCAGGCGTTTCTGCTCGTTTCAGGGCATCTCCCACAGAATCGCTTGGGGTTTGTTGTTTGTACGAGTCGAGTTGCGAGCTCGGCTTTTGCTCTTCTGAATCCTGGTTGTTGCGTTGCTGCGGTTTGGAGGGTTCGGGCTCTAAGAGCTATAGGTACCAGGTTTGAGTATTGTTTAGTGAGCGGCAGATCCGCAACAAGCTCAACAGTTATGCCGTTCTCAGAATGTCAGGAGTAGCCAGAGACCAGAGTTTGGGGCAGTCCAGCTTTTGGAGGGTCAATGTTCCACATCAAGGGCTCCCCTGCGAGGGTACCAGGAAATGCTTGACATTGACAAAGAATCAGCCCCCAACGCGCCACAACCCTCAACCCCGGTTCTGGGTTTCATGGCTCTTGACCGTACAAGACATGTATCTCACAGATCTTGGCTGGCCTGGCTCGAAAAGCAGATGAGTCGGCATGGAAGCGAAACTCTAGAGTATTTACGGTTTTGATTTTTGCAGCCCAGGCGAAGACACCTTGCCGAGGACGTGAACACGCTTCCCATGGCGAAATCCTATCTGCATGTAGATACACGTTGTAAAACAGCAATTTTTCACCTGAGCAGCGGTCAATATTTGCGAATGGGCCAGCCCTGAGCAGGGTTTGCCGCATTGCGGCTCTTCTGGAATGAAAAGAACAATGGACATGCTAGCACGGCCTTTGTCTTTGGTAGGTTTGCAGCTGCATACGAAAGTCACTAATTACAGCCTGTGGCGTGGTGAAGCAAAACAAATCGAAATCGCATCGCTCTCCGTTGCAACCAGTCTCTGCATGGGCCACAACCTTGCGTGACATGGAACGAGTAGTGCTAGTGCTGAGTCCTCGGGGGCAAGACAGCCTTTGGAATCAAGGAAGCAGGGAAGACAACCTGGGCCGTGGGTTTAGGGCGTGAGGTTTAGGTTGAGGTTTTTCGGGCGCATCGATCTTGGTGATGGTGGCTGTACCTAAATTGCCATAGTAGTACCATACAACATCTGGAGAGCTCCAAGCAAGTACTGACCGCATCTCAATCGTCGAAGGCAGCGTTTTCAGAAGCGGCCGTCGTTGCAAAAGAACATGCGAATCATGTTCGCACGTTCCGAAGTTTGGCGCTGCTTTTATAGCATCTCCCTGTTCTCAGTAAACATTCCTTTTAATTCCAATACAATCTCAGTTTTCCCAGGATACATCCCACGAGCACTGCTCTAATTGGTACTTGAAGTCTTTTTTTTTCCAAAGCCTCTGTCACAACCCAGACCAGCTGTTTGGCGTCAACCGGAATCGAAGCCTGAGCAACTCGCTCAAAGTCTTGATGTGTGCGTTGTATCATCCTAGACGTGCGAAGTCAGGATGTAGATATTCATTAGTAGACAGAAACGTCAGGATTGGAGGCGTAGAGTATTCGGGTTTGGGGCGGAGGTTGCAGGGTTTACGGTTGGGGGTTTTCTGCACTCATGCTTTTCGGATCCGAATGGGCAGGAATCAGCAGATCCCCCTTATACACTCCGATAAAAACATACTTATACAAAGCTTCCCGATACAAAACTTTCCCTAACACCCTGTTCTTCTTGTTCAGGCCCCTATACTGTCCATTCTGCCAGGGGTTTGCTTCGACTCCGCACACGATCCTTTGCCAGATGCCCAGCAAGCTTTCGGCTTGTATGCGTAATATAGCAGCCTAAATCATCACGTATACTAGTTCTCAGCGTCCCTGATTAGATTTGCAGTATCGTGCCCCTAGACCCCATTCGCATTATCCAGACCACTAAATTATCCAAGTAATCTTGGTATATCTTGGTATTTGACCTCAAAATTGGTGCCTTCCGGACCCAAAACATACTGTGCACAAGCCCAACCTCCTGGGAGTTGTTTAGGTGTGTATTGGGTTTTTGGGTACGGTACCGACAATTCGGATACTCTGTAGATCTTCGTCCGACAACTAGCCCTTATCTTTGCTAGCAGAGTCATTTGTCATCGTTGCCAGTCTGCAACATCTTGCCACCGAAGGCATGCAAGCATAGGACTAGGACTAGCAGCATTGTCATTAGTAGTGTTTGCGGGCCGTGTTGCCGTTGCTGATGCAATTGTTTTTCTTGTTGTTGCTGTTGCTGTTGTTGTTGTCGTTTGTATTGTGGTTTTGAGTTCAGGTTGCCGCACTTGGAGACTAGTGTTTCCAGCAGCAGCTCTGGGACAGGACGTCCCTTTCAAGTGGTTTTTCTAGGGCCTGTGCTGAAACGAGGTGTGCTGTCCGGATTTCGGGTTTAGGTTATTGGCATGTTCCAGGGTCTCGGTTTGACCAAGACCTCTGTCCGTGACTCAAGCTTGATGTTCTACCGTCGCAACGTGCAAAGTGCGCTTGACTGCTGGCACCCCTAAACCCCTAAACCCTAAGCCCTAGGCGGAACGGCTCCTAACTGCCAAGGTGCCTCGGAATCCGATGGCGATGCATCGTCCATCAAGCTGCTGTTGCCCGGGGCCTAGCTTCAGCAAGTAAGTTCATATGTGTGTGTGGGTGTGCATACTTCACACACACACATGTATGCATGTACCATCCGTTCTCTGTGCATACATACACTTGCGTCGTAGTATTTAGATTACACTACACACATTAAACGTAGACAGGAACAGAAGCACCTACACTGATCCATGCATGCATCCTTCAATCCATACCTGCATCAACAGATACATTCCTGTATGTATGTGTCGTTCAACTTGCTCTTGTCATGAAAAGAATATCTTCAACAGATGGCACGTGGTGTATCAAACTGTCACATGGCATGTGCTCCCTTACAGTTTTTATTTGTATCCTGTGTACTGCAACATATCACTTGGCTGCAGCCCAGCATCATGTCATGAAAAGCCATGCGCAATATTCGCAAACCTAGGTGACATGTGTGTAGTTGGTTCTCAGTTCCGTCGTGGGGCTGTAAGTTGAGCTGGTAAGCTGTAGCTTGTAGGTTTCACGTTATCTCTTAGTTTTCCGTTTATGCACAGTTTGTACAATTTGTCATTCACTCTGTATGGCCTGCGACATGTGTATCTTGCGTGTTGTACACAGTTGCCTACATCTGATGTATGTTCCTGTTTGTGATCTTGGTCATGCTCTGTTTGTTTTACGATGATCCAGATACACGCTAGCCCAATCCGCACTGCATTCCTGCAGGACGACACATTATATGTATGTATGTATCTATTTCGTATGCACGTATGTATGTGTTGTTTTACTCGTGTGTGGGGTGGGGCTGGGTGGGGTAGGGTAGGGAAGGGTAGTGCAAAATGCGAGGGAGGTAGATAGGCGTGTAGGTATGTACGTATGTACGAACATGTTCTTTAGAAGCATCTTTGATATAAGTGCGCGTTATACGTGTTAACAGTTATACATACATTACGCTTCGAAGGAGGGGCGGAGAGAGTGCGAGAGGGAGTCAGTGCCGGAGCTGGAGCCACGTGGGGGTGAGAATTAGTAGGAGAGTGAGAGCCACAGTGAGAGTGGGCGAAGCAGCCAGCGAGAGAGGTCAAGTTGAGTGGATGATTATTTCAGTGATTCCTTTTGAACAGAAATAATATTGAAAGCTTATTACAGGTGCTATCACCACTATTCATTCTGCTATTATTCGCATCATCTGTGTTTAGCGCTCTCCGGGGTATTGCAGTAGTAGTTCAGATGTTAAACAGGTGGAGGGTTCGCTAAAATAAAATTCCCCTGATAAGTTCCTTTTGACAAGGGTGCCGTGTTAAGTTGGGGACCTCAAATCCCAAAAAGAGACCCCAATTTAGAGAACTACCCAGGTCTGCGTTCGAGGGGCGCCCTCCGGTGATCTTCTTCGACTACCCGCCAGCAGTGGGCAAGGAGCGCCCTAAACACAAAACTTAAGCCCCTCAACCCTAAACTCTTAAACCCTAAACTTTGCCCTTAGGCCCTGAACCCTTAAACCCCACACACTTAAGCCCTAAAGCCTTCAGGCCTACGCCCTAAACTTTGTGAAGGTGCCTGCATCAGGTAACATAGGGATCAGAATAATTAGGGTTCAGGCTTTAGGGTTGCAGTTCCGGATCAAGCATACCCCAAAAAACGGTTGAAAGAAATTCTGATGAGCATGGCTCCCTGCTATAGTATCTGAAGCTTACATGTTTGCCAATGACCTATATACCATTAATGTTCACTGCAGAATCTACCCCAAGACCCTTTTCTGGTTAGCATGGCCCCTACAGTTACCAATGTGAATTCTCAGGGCTGCTTAGTTACCCTGAAGCCCTGGTCTAATGAGGATGGCTCTACATCCGTTCAAGGTCAAGGTGTTGCCTTCGTTGCCAAGCGAGCCAGACAGAACTCCCGGTAAAAACAAAACCCTCAGAGTACCCGATATGAGATCTTCCTGTAGCTCCAACCCCTACAGAATAGTAGGTTATGACTCCTTAATTATAGGGTATGACCGGTATGATCCTTAAGACGGTAGGTTATTGGATCCCCAGCTATATCAGCAGCCTGCAGGCCAAGGAAGTGGATCCAGCACGTATCCTCTATTTGGACGAGTCGGGGTGCTTAGAGATAGGTTGGGGGTTTTAGGGGATTTCAGGGGGTTTGAGGGCTTTAATGGGGTTTAGTTGGCTTGAGCTCTAAGGGGTTTTGGGGTTTTCGGCTGTTTAGGGGGTGTAGGTGTTGAGGGGATATCAGGTGGTTTGGGTTAAGGGGTTTTAAGGGTGTGTGTTTGTGTGTGTGTGTGTTTGGGTGCAAGTATGTACCCCAATGCCTTATTTTACTGTAGTTGTTAATGCCCCTACAGGTCAATACGGGGCTCCGCCTTGGTTGTGACCCATCGTGTCATAACAAGTTCAAACTCATGGAATATGTTGGCCCGCTTAGCTAGCACAATCATTCCGAGTTTTCCTCGGGCCATGACTATATATATATATATATATATATATATACATACCCAAAGCCCTAATCGGATAGTTGAGGCCGCCAGTACGGTGGTAATAGAACGTTAGCAATGCAGGCCCCTGAGTTGTAATGAATTTGGGGCTTGGTGGTCTGGGGTGAGGGTAGAATTAGAAGGCGTCTTAAGATATGCCTCCTGCAGGCTCCGGCTTGGGCCGCTAGAATGGCCTGAATATAGGGGCCTGCACTGTGAGTTGTGTGGGGATAGTATACCAGGCTACTTCCAACTATTTAGACCCCTGATGTTCAGCGAGTCAGGAACGCTTGCATTGGTAACGTTGACGTCTCTGACTGGCCACTCTCATAGGTGTAGTTCTGCAAATTAGGCTCCATCCTGGGCTCCTTGTTGCAAGGGTACCGTCCTATTATTGGGACATAAAAGGGACCCTAATTATGAGAACTCTCTATATGTTGACGTGCAAGCTCTGCAAGTAGGCAGCACTTTTGAACTATCATCATGCTACGAATCAGCAATCTCAAGCGGGTTTGTGAAGTAAATCTTGGGATGCACGCCAAGGGAGTGTTCTTGTGCGGAGCTGCGCAAATCTAGTGAGCATTATGTCCGCTTGACATGCAAAGTCCTAAGGCTCTCCAGAAGATATCCAGAAGTTCTTTTCAGTCGGGGGCTTGGTCGACGAGTCTCACGGGCGAGTCAGTTTTGTACACGCTGTGCAGCAGTCTCACTCTCGGAATGAGGTCACCCGGGTGTCGTTCACCGCTACAACGCCGTCTTGAACACCATCTATAACGCAGGTGGGCCTAAACGCTAAGCCCTGAACCCGAAACTTAAACCCTGAACCCTCACATGAGCTGCTTTACACTTTGCGAATATCGTGGCTGACCTGCTGTCTCGATGCATTGATGCGACCTGTCTCTTCATCTGCTTCCCACAGCCCAAAACCCGAATCCCACCACCTCACCCAACCCAAAAACCTCCTAAACCCCCCTAAACCCGAACCCCACCCAAAAGAGAAATGTAAGATTCCGAGACCACTTAAGCCCCAAACCTCCTAAAACCTCCTAAACCCGAAACCCTCCCCCCAGACCCTGAACCTCCTAAACGTCCCAAACCCGAAACCACCCGAAGCCCTTATCCCTTATTCTCCTCGTCCGCGATGGATCCGTGCCAGGCTTGGCAGAGGTTCCAGCAGACACAGCCTTTCGGCTTTATAAGAGACGACTTGGGGGCTCATGGGTAGTTATACGTAGGGTTATAAGTCCCCTATAGCCCCACTTATAACTACCCATGAACCCTAAACCCTATACATACCCTTATAGAATCCCTATAGACCCCTTTAAAGGACCCCTATAACCCCACTTATAACAAAGGGATCATCGTAGACTCTAGGTTTCAGACTTCAGGGCTGCTTGCGGAACAGGATCATGGTTCAAAGGGGAAAAGGAGGGACCCTTAATGGGGACCCCTACCCTGTAATGGGCTATATGGTGGGTATATAATAGCTATATTAAGGGTATGTACCTAGGGGTCCTTATTCAGAGTCCCTCCTTTTACCCTTGGAATGGTGGATTCTAGGATTCTGCTGGGTAGCATTCTGGGCCCCCAAAACCCTATTCTAATTATTGAGGCCCCTATATTAGAATGCATCGCCTAGTAGGATATAGGGTTTCGAGGTTGTGGGCTTAATAGTAACATCACAGTACACTCTGGAAAGCTGAGCATAGCTTGGACATGGTAAGATGCGGCACGGGCAAACCCTGAACCACTGAGTCTCTAATGCCTAATCTCTGAACCCCTACAGCTCTAAAGCCCCCAAAACCCCCTAAAGCATCCTTTTGGGGCCTTTTAAGTTGCCGGCTCGGGTTTAAGGTTTAAGGTGCGCTCGCTTGTTCTTGATCTTTGCCGCATTGTCTCCGCACTTCCTCGGCAAGCGACTTTCAGGTTCTGTCGTTGAGGATGTAGGGTGTACTTAGTGGTTGAGGCGGTCAACGTGCCATTAGTGTTTTAGGCCGGTACATTAAGCTCGATAAAATAGAGTTCACGGTTAGAGTTCTGTTAGAGTTTTGTTAGCTTCTAGCTGCGCAATCGATCGATCAATGGCGTTCGCACGGCTCGAGGGCGACTGGGACTGCCAAAGGCGTGCTGAGGGGGGGGAGAGTTTAATTGGCTCGAGCACTGTTTAGGATGTAGGCTGTTGGGTTGAAGGCTTCAGCCATCATCACTAAAGCCACCGTCACTGTCGCCACCATCTTCGTTCTTCCTCCTCCGCCTCCTCCTTCCTCGCCTCCTCCTTCTCATCAGCTTCGCCATCGTGATCCTCCCCATCGCCCTAGTTTCCCGGACGTGTTTCTGGAATCGCGATATCCTTATCATCGTAGCGAGGATCATGACTCTTCGTTTGGCCTCGGCTGCTACATTGCTACACTCGTTTTACTCACGACTATTTCGGTGATGATGTCGTGATTCGGTCACTGCCTCTGAAGGCTTCCAGCCCGACAGCTTGAGGTATGCAAGCTGATCATGATCGTTTCAGAGTTTCACCCCTTTCGTCACGTCAGGAGGGGGAACCTCGTGTTCCCCAAAAACTCCGAGTGCGCGCTTCTTGCCTACATCCACTGGGATAGCCTTGTCGGTATCCTGTCGTAACCAGCATGTGTCTCAGGGTGGTGCGGCGGGTGAGCAAACTTATTGTCGGTTGTCGTCGTCGTCGATTATCTTATACGTCTTAACCTGCTTGCTGGGTGTGATGCTACTTCTTGAACCTGGTGATAATCGCGCGTCTGGGAGCAGTCTTCCCCGACTCCTCCCATCTGTCACTTGTAGTTCGACCGCACTCGTCAATCCAAAAACAGCCTTCCTCACTGGGATGCCTCACGCCAGAAAGTGGACGTATGCTGGATACTACAATTAATCATAGTATACCCCGCCAAACCCTATCCTAATTGCTAAGGCCATCCACGGCCCCTACATACGGATCCCTAAGCCCTATACACTCTAATCCCTAAGCTTACCCGGGCGTAGATCCACAACTTTGAGACCCAATCCATGAGCATTCTTACAGCCTGATGCCTTCAAGACCGGATCCTCCTGCTTGGAGGCTCCGAGCATGTATTGTTTGCCGTGTGGGGTCTAAATTCTATCCAGAACTCGATATGTAAGTATCGTGCAACTACGGCAGAGGTAGCTGTACTTAGAGGACTGATATTTGGGTTGTGAGTTGTAAAGCCAGCGATTGCACGCTTGTAAGTAACATACGGACCTGAATGATGACGCACATTATTTGCCAGTCTTTAGAACTCCGAATTGCAGTTGGAGTCCGATATGCCCTCACAGACACCTGGCAGAGGTTTCTGAAACTTGGAACTTGTTCCTCCGCACCGAGTAAAGAGAGTGCAGTAGCTTCGTAGCAGTTAGAAGCACCAAGCCAAAAGTTAAACGTTCTGAGGTGTGGTTCATGGATTGGGGGGATTTCCACTTGGAGGGTTCCTTTCCCAGCTGGAAATGACAATTGCCTGTCAATGACACAAGGCAAGCATATCCGTCGTACCTCAAGTTGCGCATCTGCGGCAAGGACATGAGAATCGGGACATGCCTCTGCTCCACGATGTCAAATTCGGTTGACTGGACTGCATACTCCCTGTCGTACATGCAAATGATAAGCTTCTACTTGGTCGACTCGGAGTTGGCAAAGGTGACCTGAGATGTGGCTATGGTGTACCAAATGCTATGGTGTACCAAATGCCACAGTCTGGATTCTTGTCACAGAACTCCATGAGGTCCTGTGCGGCCACCCTTGAAGCCGTGGCTCTCGTACATCCCAAATCCAACACCATTGCGGTTGGCGTCAAGGGCTGAGAGATGAAGGCCTCGACCATGTCATCGACCTGGTCCTTGGCGGCCATAAAAGCATGACCATAGGTCCGGTTCGGAATGAAAGGGTAGAAGTTCTCGACGTAGAACGTTGTGGCGGCAGTGGTGCCGCTCTGGGCAGCATCGGCAAGCTGGGCTTGTCCGTCCTTTCCGGACTTTCCATCTTTTCCATCTTTGCTCCCAAACTTGCTCTTTCCCTTGCCCTTCTTTCCTTTCTTTCCTTTGCCTTTGGCTGCATAGGACTCCTCAGACTCGTACCACGACCAGTCATCCCAGCTGATCGTTCCATTGGCTGTCTGTCCATTGTCCGTCTGCTTGCCATGCATCGGATTCTTCGGCAAGGTTGGACCTGCCTTTTCTCTTCTTGAAGAAGCGTCTTCCACCGGATCCTTTGCCACCTTTTCCTTTGCCTTTGCGGCGGCCTTTGAATCCTCCACGCTTCATACGTCGCCCTTGGAAGCGCCGTTGGAACCATGAGAAGTTCTCCTCGTCGTAGACCCAGAAGGCATCCTCATCAGCTTCCAAGAAGCCTTCTGCGCCATCCTCCTCGTCCTCGACCCAGTAGCCCTCGTGGTTGTCCAAGTATCCTTCATCGATCACAAGGAACGTCTTGCGGCCACCGTGGCCGGAAGGAGCGAGGAGAGGATTGTCGACGGTAGTCTTGGTCGTGCAAAAAATCTCGAGGTAGACTTCGCGCGGCTCCGATGTGCCATCAAAGATGTCAGCACCTGTCTCTGATCCTGCGTGAGGTCGGACAGTGAGACAAAGATCAAAGCAACGAGGTTGGCAGTGATCGGAGTGGTCCGAGCATGCTGATCTCTGAGCCGAGCATTGGCTCTTTCCATCGCCTCTTACGGGCGTAATACCTTCCTGTTCTTCTGCGGGAAGTCCTGCGATGAACGCTGTGACCTCGGCATTGTTCGGGTCCATGATCGGCAGATAGGTGTCATTCCACGATTCTTGCATTCGCTGAACAGAGAGTTGAAACCTGGTAATCCAACGAAGCATGTCTCCATTCCCACGGTGCAAATTCATGAACTGCTGGAAGCGGTAGAGGAAAACATTCGCTGCTCCCTTCACGAAAAGCGGCCGCAGGAAACTCTTGAAGTACTTAACCCCGTTGTTTGCATCCTTCAGGCGATATCTGTCGAGAAGCCTCTTGTGGATAGCTGCTTCACCTTCTAGCCGATTTCTCAAAGCTGGTCCGCGGGTTTGCCGCGACTGTCCAGCCGGAAGGTTTTCCATCTTTGTATCAGGGTCTTTTTCATAGTCGCTCGTGGCAGACAGACACCGTCAAGCGCGAGACGGTTCCATTGCCGCTTTCATTTATGTTATGGCTAGAGACTGAGATAGTCCTCGGACACTTTGGCCAGGCTGAGATTTCATTCACTGGAGCAGTGCTGCTTTGCATTTGGTGTAGCTTGCGGTTCTCAGATTCACAGCATACCCGATTGCGAGACATGTACATTGATTTTTGACAGTTTCCGATCTGTGGCCTATCGCGCCAAGTCGCGGAAGTTCATGCCTTTTGGCTGCCTTTCATGTGGTTTGTACCTTCTTCCCACAGGAAAATCCTGGCTCTTCCTTTGGTTGCATGCGCATTGGAGCAGTGCTGGGATGTGGCCTCGTTGGGTACTGATGTGCCAGACTACATCTTGGCATATTGTGACAGGGACTCCATTCGCCCTCTTACCTATGCTGAGACTCTTTCTCGCCTCCGGCATCTTCTTGCGTTGTGGGGTGGTATCCCGAAAGAGCAAATTTCCCACTATACATTGCATAATTGCATAGCATGAAAGTTACATTGGTGGCCTTTTTCCGTCAGCTCGACATGTCACTGGAGGTTCGACATATGCAGGGACATCATACATTTGCATCGTCCAGTACATTGTACGGACGAGATGACGTTTCTCCTCTGATCATTGCACAGGACACATTTATTCAGCGCGTGCGGACCGGCTGGATAGCTCGTACACTTGCCTGAGCATGATGATGCTTTGCGACCCAAATCTCATTTGCCATCGTTCCAAAACGTTTTGTCAGAGGCCGAAGTTGTAGCACCTGGATCAAGTGAGGCAGGCTTCGGGCTGATCATGTTGCTGGGCGTTTTGGAGGAAAGGCCTCCTTGCAAGTCTCGCTCGCAGCAGGCTCCCACCGATGATGTGCAGGAATATGAGCCAGCCTTCTGGGCTGCCGCTACGGTGCAACATGAGAGAGAGTGGATATATATATATATATATATGTATGTATGTATATATATATATATATATATGTACATATATATATACATATATATTTACATAGTTGCATATGTGGCTGATACTTTT